AAATGCAGTGCTCAATGGGGCTAGTGACACTTATTAGTGAGAATGAGCAGCATGTGCTGGCATCCAATTTGCCATCATTTCGGCAACTTCATATGCCAAGAGTCGAATCTTTTTGCCAGCATACGGTCATGAATGATGACCCACTTCTTGTGCCACATCCAGAATCTGACATCCGGTTTCAAAACCTTCCAGCGATAGTGGCATTTAATTTGAGATTTTATATGGGATTTCCACTTAAAGACGAGAACAACCAAGTTGTGGGCTCCGTATGCTGTGCTGACAACACATCCCATGATGTTACGGCGTCGCAATACTCAGCTATGAAGAAGCTTGCGGAAACGGCTTCCAAATTAGTGCAGATCAAGGGGAAACAGGTTGCATAACAACATAACTTAGATAGGTTACATCAAGACATAACATAAAAAAAGTTTAAGTCGCAAATTTTGCTGTAGGTAAATAGCTTCATATTTATGCCAATATTAAATTTTGTCAATCGCATTTGTGTATTCGAAAAGTTTACATTGCAAGGTGAACAGCGTAAAAGCCTTGATTGAAGATTTAGTATGGCCTTAACTTAATGCGTGCGAAGAACAGAGCATTTTAGGGAATAGAAAGAGTAATTGTATTAATGATGCACTTTGTACATAGGAAGCTTTACTTTACAAGTTACAGTTCCAGAGAATGAGACGGACAGAAGTAGAACATACTTCATTAGCTCTCTATTCAATTCTGAATGTATCGGTTACTTATCGACAATTCTAAAAGATTTTATAAAGCGTTTCGTAGGATTAGCAGCCAGTCTCTTCCACGGATCTCTCCTCAATAAAGTTTATCCACCCCATTTAAACCATGGAACTTCGTCATGATCCATTTGTTTCAGACTTCTTAGATTTGCTTTAAGTCCGGGGAACAATCAGAACCACCTGACGGCAAGCAAACACATCGAAGCGGAAGAGTCAACGACACTATTGGGTACCTTCCCATCCACTCACGTGAAATACGACCAGCAACGCTAATCTTGGTACCAAAGGCAGCTTCCAGGCTTTAGCGCGATAGATTATCATGATTTGATGTTATTATTGCTCGACCGCAAATTCCTGACGACAAGTTTCTTGCTTGTCAAAGTTTCTGGTCGACCAAACATTCGCATTGCAGATACACATGTCTGCCGTCACCATGAGAACTGCTTTCTAACGCAATGATCATCATTCTTTTGTTAGGTCGTTGACTTCCCCATCACCCATCCACACGTTACAAATGTGCAAAATTTATTTTCTACTTCTTCCTGTACAATGGAGTAAATGAGCGTTGATCGCCTGGATATAAAACTTGAAATAAGTTACGTAACAAATGATAGCGTGCGAGCACATTAAAATATTGTCACTCTTGCTTCTAAGACGTTAACTCAAGCTCAGAAGTACCAAAGTAAGCTATAATGATGACATTCTTTAACAGTAGGATAACGAGAACTCTGAAAAAAAGGTTCATGGTATATGTAGGCTGCCTTCTCTTTTTCGCGCAGTAGAGAGGGTATTGAAATACACCGCTAAATGCGAGTAAATGACGTCACGAGTATTACGGTAATGTTTACAGTTACTATAATGATTACGGATATTGATTGCGGACATAATTGTAGTCATTCATTGGTCTAGATTACTATGGCTGCTTGTAGAAACTTCTAGAAAGATCTAAACCGATAGACTTAGACGTAGCACAGGGTAGCGAACTAAGGACCTCAATATGTTCACTTCGGTTCTTACTAACAAATTAACAGGTTAACAGCCGCACCAAGAGATCTACCCACCACGTTTCACCCTCATCTAAGCAAACCGAAGTTCTCCTAGGCAATGGGAATACTTCCACTGGGAGTTTAACATGCGCATGACGCTGGCGCAAAAGGGGTGATTGTGGAAGAGGAGATGACACAAACTTGGCTGTCCAACGACTCCAAGGCGCCGGGGACCGTTGCTCAGGGCATCGAGCTACAGCCCAGGTCAAGATTCGGTCCAGGCGACAGCTTTGCACTCTTGAAGCATTCTACGAGAATACTACAATCGTACCATGCTTCACAAACGTGTCAGATGACGCGCCGCCTGCATGAGTTCAAGATGGAGAGTGGCTCGACTATGTCCAAGCCTCTGGAAGCGTTCGACGAGCTTGTTGTCGGACTTCAGTCACTTGGAGAGCCTGTTGACGAATCGCGACAGCTAGTGGTACTGCTGAGCAGCCTCCCGACAGATTATGAGCTGATTGTGTCGATTATGAAAAATGCCAAGGACATCACGCTAATCAAAAATCTGTTGAAGGGCATGAGCGGCTGCCAAAGAAGACGAAGAAGAATGCGTTTCCTGTTCACAGAAGCGGTGAGCGGTTTAGAAGCAATCGTGGACCTGAACGAAAAGATTACGGTCCAAGGAAGAGTAAAGGCCTTTAAGGGAAGTGATCTAATTTTAATCAAATTGGGCACATGAATCGAAAATGCCCAGGCGGAAGCAATGGCATTGATGAAGACACGGTATTTGCTGCTAACAAAAATCGTGAAGGAAACGACGATACAGTCTCCTTTCCCTTTATATATACACTGCATATAGTCTTGTTGATACGGCGTAAAGCTGGCATACCATGCGCCCCAAAGATCGGTGTATTTGCTGTATCTAAAAGTCGAATGTACTCTTGCTCTTGTGCGCGTACTATACCGCTCTTGCTTGAATGTCCCATGCGCGCGATGCCACAGCCCCCACTGATTGTCAGCATCGGCGTACTCCACAAAACGCTCTTCTTCAAAGTTGCAATCAGGGACGAAAGCTTTGCCAGATCTTTTTGCCCAGAGCTAAAGCCTTGTTTTTGGCCCAGATAACACATGAAATTGCTGAAATTCCACAGCATCATTCCTATACTTTCTATCTTCATTAGTGGCTCATATTGAGTTAGCGACTCAATCATTTACCATCATACAGCTATGAAAGTATGTGTTTAATCAGGGCTGGCTACATGGAGCGTGGCTACATCGTATACCCAAAGAAATTCGGTACACATTTTAATGAATACATTTTAATCTCGAAATTGGGGGCGACACTTGTAGTTCAATCTCGAAATTGGGGGCGACATTCGTAGTTCGTAGTTTGGCTCTAAATTTGTGTGTTATTGTAATAGGGTGCTGTTCACAAACAGTCTCTCAAACACTACACACAGCGATTCCCGACGTTTCGACTTGGAGGGAAGAAGAACGATCTTACACCTTAAAGGTGAATTTGCAACCAAATCAAAATGAGTTAATGACATCTAGCGATATGCAAAATAATCCTAGAGGTTTCACTAAAAACACCATGCGCTCCTGGTTTATATGTCAAAGGTGATAGCTCGAACTAAAAAGAGATTAAACTCCAGCTTTCGCGGAAAGAATCCAGTAGAAGTGACTGGCGTACACCACCCACTTCGAAAAACACAGACCTTCAGTCTCGTTACCAGAAGAAATTCCAAGTAGGAATCAGCATTTGTATCACACATGTTTGTGACCTCATAAAAGATGTCACGTATGTATTTGGGAGCACCATATTGTA